CTTGCGCAGGCTGTTTGTGACAATTCCGAGGACTCTTTCTCTCCCCATACTCATAAACGTGAACCCCGAAGAGCAAGCCAAGCGCATCTGCAATTCGGGCAAGGAGCAGGTGGCGTAGTAGTAAGGTCGCCAGATCACACTGGCAAGAGAGATCGGATTCGAGAACCTTCCGGCGTGTCAACGTCGGGCGCACAGGAGCAATCTTGAAAAGAACACACACACACAAAGCCAAGCTTTTTGCAAACTGCACGTGCACGGACAAGTTACGGAGACCGCAGAAACTAATGAGGATGAGCCTTCGAAGCGGCAAAGTATAGTGAAGCCAAACCCAGTAATAGAAGTACGAACTTCTACACCATGGCATATATCATTTGGGAACTCTGATGATTCTGGCCCCTGTGGCTTGCCAGAAGAAAGACTTGTCATCCAATGGTGTGGTCTTTTGCTGGGCCAAGGGTGAAAAGCGCTCTAGGGTCGATTAGGCTCACTCGAGGTTGAGGGTTCAGGGTTGTGGGCTCCGGCTCATTTAGGGCTTGGGATTTACGGATGTGTGCTTTGAGGGTTTAGGATTAGGCTCATTTCTCTCTCCTCTCCCAGGCAGTGAGCGATGCGTGACACGTCAAGCGCACCAGGCAGTCTGCGCCAGGCCCCGAAGGTTTGGTATGTAAAATATGGAATCCCAAACCCATGAACCTCCCAAATCCCTGCTGAGCCCTACCTGTACGAAAGGGACCTAGAATTCGAGGAAACCCTTACAATGAAACTCAACCCTTCTAAAGCAGTAGACCCCAGACCCCAACACTCGAAGCAGATCAGCCCGAGAAGCCCGAAAAAGCCCCAAACTCGAAACTTCAACACAACGCCGAAGAACGGAAACACCTCAACAAAAGAAGCTAAACACACATCGATAAGTTGGCAAATAAACCACGAGCAGCAAGAAACCCACCAAAAGAGTTTTAAAGAAAAAACAGGGGGCCTGGCCTGAAGAGGGCAGCAGCCTCTCCCCAGCTCGGCATCTCGGTGGGGCCGTCGGGCTCGAAAGCAACGATCCTAGGCTCAAGTCCACATGTATAATCATAGTCATTATTATTATACTCTATCTCTCTATATATATATATATATATAGATAGCGATATAGCGAGCGAGAGAGAGAGAGAGAGATCCCTTCGTGGAAAGCCCTTAGGAAAGGAATGCATCTGGGGTTTACTGGCATTGGGGTCTCTTCCATGACTTCGAAAGGAGTTTCTTGAGCACCATGTCTACTGACTAAGACGGAGAGTCCCATAGCCAGAATCAGTACTCGCGAATCTATATCTACACCCGCTTCAACCAACTGAGCAACCACTAACCCTATTTCTAGTGAAAGCTTGCTTCAAGCCCCTTACATCCCAGCGGCCTGGCGGCTGAGTTCCCTGACGTAGAAGAGTTTAGCCGACATTTAGGTTTAGGGTTTAGGGTTTAGGAAGGTTCAAACCGTGGCAAGACAAACTGAAGCGAACGATGATAAAAGATTGACGACTCGGTAGAACGGATTCAACCTTTCTCCCCAACCCTAAATGCCCTCAGCCGTAACCTTAAGCCCTACCTGCAACCAGCCCATGAATCTTCAAGTATGCCTTGAATGCCCCGCGTCAATGGAGCCCCTCCGTGACTTCACAGCCTCCGCTTAGCTCTGTTTGGGGTTTAGGGCTTCGGGCTGTATGGATTTAGTGCTGGGCCTTCGGGTTTACCGGAGTGTAGAGTGTACGATGCTGTGGCCGATGGGCCTGACAACAACACTCAAAGACTGCTTAGTGGCTGTCATTGCTGGATGCCCTGAGGAAACCAGAGCTTGGAGACAGCTGGTGGTTGAGGGCTCAGGCTTGTCAGTGTTTAGCAAGAAAACAATGGCGGTAATGGTGGCGGTGGTGGTCCTCTGCCTGCTGCCCAGGATCTCACCGAAGTAGGAATACCTCTGCAGCAGATCGCAAGAGGTTTGTGGGTCATTTTGCCGAGTTCTGCGAGTGGTACGAGGCCACCGAAACAGACCGTGAAGCTACGCGAAGGCTACACCAAGATTGTTCGGGTGTGCAAAAAGCCGATCTACTGCTGGACCTGCAGCACCTCGAAACCCTCCGACACTTGTGCTTTCTTCCAGAGGCAATCAATGGCACCAGCATCACTCGAGAGGCCCTACCTACAAGTCCATCATACCCAGTCTCATCTAGCTCTAGGATTAGGAATGAAGGAGGCACTCGATCCGAACAATGAGATCCGTTCAGCCTCTGAGGCTCACGAGAGGTAGGTTGAGCAGCAACTCTCCCCAAAGCGTCGGAAACCATGTCAGCGGCTCTGCAACTGACACCCTGAAGCCCCGACCCTCAAAGAAATTTGGGGTCCTTCGGTTCATGAAGGTCACATTCTGGATCGACATTACGATCGACTCATGTCCTGGACCTCCCACATCCAAAACCCCTGCCAACCGCCTGCTTCGGGACTGCTTCGCAAGTCATAATCAAAGTCCGCCCTTCATTGGAAGGATCGGTGGAGCCCCAAAACTCTAAACCCTGAAGCCGCACACCCCGAAATGCTCTTCAACCCCGAAAGACCACCACCCTTAACCCACAAGCCGTACTACCTCAAAGCCCTGAAGCCTAACCCCAACTGTCAGGCCCCTCGACCCCAAGAAACCCTGAACTCTAAACCGAAAGCCAACATGCAGGAGCCTCAACAATTGGAACGGGCCCTTCCTGCTTATTCATATTATACTCTCGAGTCTAACTATAATCAGGAAATCTCAGGAATACCCAGGAACAATACTATTAGGTACGATTCAGACCATAAACCCTATCCCCTAAACCTAACCCTATACCCTAAACCCTAAACCCGAAACCTCAACCCTACAACCTAACCTTTTTCCCCCAAAAAAAAGCCCAGGCGCTGCTCCAAAGCTTCGGGCCCCAAGGGCTCGAGGAAGCCGGATTCGGCGAGGACCCGGCGAGCCATGGCAGGATTTTGGGGGCCCTAGGGTGTAGGGTTCTAGGTTTTGGGGTTTAGGGTTTAGGTTTTGGGGTATAGGCTTTAGGGGTTTAGGGTTTAGGGTTTGGGGTTTAGGGTTTAGGGTTTAGGTCCTTTAGTTTCCTTTAGGGTTTTAGGGTGTATCTATTGCTAAGGGCCCCTTTTCGTGTCAGCAGGGTTTAGGTTTTAGGGTTTGGGGCGAGGGGCTTGAGCGGCTTGAGTTTGGGCGGGCCTGCAGGCTATCCCTAGCTTGAGGTCAATAAGATTTGAGGTATATTCCTTAATTCCCTTATAGAACCCATATAGACCCCCTTTAAGGAACCCCAATACGACTTTAGTCTCGGATTTCAGATTTCAGGGTCTGGGGCTCCTGGTTTACGAGTGCAAAGCTTGTCGCGCACTTGCTGTTGGATCTAACTTTCGCTTCGAAGAAGCTCGCGATGGAGCAGGAAACTGAGAAGACCGGCTTGGGGTTTCAGGGGGTCTGGGACTTTTCATTGCTGAGGGTTCTCATTGCAAGCGAGAGCCACTGAAAAACACCAACACTTCGTGGCTTGCCTGATTGGGCCCATTTCTGTAAGAGTACCGAGCTGAGGTTGGGGCTCCCCGCCCCCTCAGTCATGGACTCTGAACTGCCAGCTCTTTGGCGCGAATCAAGCAACCTTGAAACCTAGATACTTTGACTGGGTGCCAGTACTCACCGTCATGCTCTACCCTCAACCCTACATCCCCACCATTACCTTCTTATATACAAACATACCCTGGACCCTACCTCAGGATTTGCCTACCAAATCAATCTAGTCTGTTCACAGAAGCCTTGCAAAACTTGAAGCTCCTTTCTCAGCCTTTGTACAAGAAGACGCCCCCCAAAACAGCCGACGGCCTCCGCCAATCGCCTTCGGTTCGCCTCCCAAGGACCAAACCGTGGCTAGGGAGTATTTGCTCAACAAAACCAACCCATAGGGCTGCCATGAGCACCTAATTCAGGGGCATGAATAATTAGAACAGGGTTTTAGGGTACATTAAAGTATACGTAATAGGTCGTAGCATAGGCCACTAAATCAATAGCGGAAGTTGCGGGCACCGCAACACCTCGCTGAGCGGCCCTGCTGCCGAGGACGTGAGTAGAGCTGCAAGCACCTGGGCTCTCAATACACCCTTCAAAGAAATCTAAAGGGATCCTGTAAGAGACCTATCTATCTATCTATCTATCTATATCTATCTATCTGTATCTATCCATATATATATATATAACTATGGTTATGGGAAGGCACACTGCGAAATAACAGCTTTGCTAGCAAGACTGTCAGGCCCCTGTGGAGGTCGTACGGACTTATTATAAACAGTTAAAACGTTTGCAAACTCAGAACTTTGTAAGGTTCTCTGTCCGTGCTTTCCGGTTCGTATGTAGCTTGAGGGGTTGGGGTTTAGGGCTTGGGGCCCAGCACAGCGAATCTAATCCAAAGAAACATACCAGGCTCGATGGCTTCGACATGACGGGCTCTAGAACCTCCTGTGATTCTCATCCAGATGTGTATGCCAGCCACCTCTGCCTGTTTCGCCCGGAGGTGAGGTGTTAGGATTGTGCGGCAAACCGGGATGAATACTGTTGCGTGCATCAGAACATACGTACAACTCTCATCAAGACTGCTCGGCAGCATTTGACCTTTCAGTGGGTTCCATGTTCAACTGAATGCCGCAAGCACATTCAGAAACTGCCGAAGGTGTTTTGAAGCCAGCTGCATGCGACCTGTGAATGCCCCTCCTGCAGCTGCACTTCTTGGCAACTGCATTCAACTGCGCAAGTTAGCCGGAAGTCCACAAAAATGGAAACCTCGTCAGAGCTGGCTTGGTTGCACAGCTGTCACGGTGACCAATGTATACATATGCAGAGGCACACAGCACAAACAAAGGAGGAGGCCAATGACTTGTTGGTCGCGTGAGTTACTCGGTGACTGCGGGTCTGGGCCTCGAGTTATAAACAGATCCAAACTAGAGACGGCTCACAATTCACCACCGCGAGCGTTGGTGATGGTGGCAACGAGCTCCCGGCGCAACTTCGGCATGTCATGCTTCGTAGGCTCGAAGGAGTCGATGAGGTACGGTCTCTGAACCCCTGGAGAGCCGGAAAACTCTGGAAATCAAGAAACGCTGGCTCTCGGAACGATGCTTCGTGATTGGGAGAAACGGGAATGATTGCGTTGCTACAGCCTTGCCTCGTGAACAACTGCAGATCCCGGACGGTCCCAAACCCCAAAAGCTTGGGAAGGGACAGCTCCCACCCGAGCAAGGCCAGCTAGTTGGCCCTCAGACTGTTTTCTGCAAAAGCAGATGACAAAGAGGGGCTCATCACTACTATACTTCGAGGGGCCAATTGCTACAGTACTGTACTACAGTCCACGGCACTCCAGCACATACTGAGTAGCTTGGTCCGTGTCTGCTCTATGTACCTCTGCAAACAGCAACACCGACGAGCAGCCCCGCCTTGCTTTCGCAGGTAGGCAAAGATCTCCTGCTTGGTGCTTCCTCCTGGAACTTCATTCACAATCAGGTTGTTCTCGATGGCCTGGCCGACCTTTTGGCGTATGGCAAAATAGGGCACCTTGTACTGGGTCAGCTCCTCGAGAAGTCAAGAGATGTGAGATGTTTCACAAGCTCTGGCATGCCACCAAGCTCTGCACAGAACTACAGAAACAAAGCTACAAGTGCACGAGCATGCTTGCTTAAACATGGCCTAATAGAGGATTCAGCAGGAGCCGGTGATTTTCTAGAGGGAGTGGTCCTCCATGAGCTTGAGGTCAGCTTCTGTGAAGCGCTCCGCACAAACGACGAGCACCGCATCAAAGTGCCGGAGACCAACCCTCCTGATGTAGTCAGTCAGCGGCCACTTCGGAGTCCCAGCACCGGGCAGATCCCACACCCTCGCAAGAGACTGACCAGGGAACTCGTACATTGTCGGTTCTTGTGTGGTCTCCACTACGCCAACTGGTGCCCACGTAGGATCATCTCGTTTGACTTCACGCAAACGGTTGTTCAAGTGAGACTTGCCCGTGCCTGCAGCACCGGTGATGGCGATGTTGACCTTATCAGTGTGTCCAGAAGCCTTGAGGAACTCGGGTACAGGATAATTGCGTGCCTCTGCTTCCTGGCGGTCCAACTCGGCCTCAAACTCTTTCCATTGTTTCTCCTTCTTATCCAATTCTTCCTGTCGTCGTTCGGCGTCTCGTAGTTTGTAATCCATCTCGGATCTCTCCCTTCGAAGTTCTTTCATTTCGCCTTCCAAGCTCTCCAGCTGCCTTAATAGCTCGGGTGAAGGCCCGGCCGGTGCATGAACTGGGCCTCTCGAGCCACATCCTTGCAGCTGCATGCCCAACCATGCAGCGGCCAAGAGCAGAAGGGAAGAAGCGACCATGGCTGTTGCAATGTAAAAGGAAGTCTAAGGAGCCTAACTCGAGCCTACCAGCAACGCCTTGCATGAGCCGAGCTGCTGTGTCTTTCACACGACCGGAGCCACTCAGTTCGCGAGTCCGCGAGATAGAAACTAAGACCTTGAAAGAGACGAAGCGAAGCACCCAACTCTAAATCTTCAGACTCTCGCTTTGAAACAGGTATCTGGCGGCCACTTTACGACGAGGACGAGGACGAAAAGCCACATCTTGAACTCAAGCGAGCTCAAGAACAAACTGGTTGCAAGCCGCGCCAATCATTTGCGGCTTGGAAGCCCCAAAGCCCTCGGAACTCGCAAAACGTACAACCATCTTTGACAAAAAACTAAACCCTGGAACCCTGAACCACGGAATCTCGGCTGTAGCTGGGCTCTTGTTAAGGAACTTCTTTACAACTTATCAGGGCACAGAAAGCAGATGACTTGCAATACATGCCTCTGATGGTAAGTTAAACTGCAGCTCTTGAACAAGCCGTGTCGCTGCCAGAGATGCCACTAGCCCAGAGCTCCAAACTCGGCAGGCACCACGGTTCAGGGATCAAGGCGTCCTTTTTTTGGGGCTTTGAGGTTTTGGGGGGCCTAGGGCTTTAGTAAGCTTTAGGGTTTAGGGTTGGATAAGGCTTCCGGAATTGAGGAGTTAAGGGTTCAGGGCCTATGATTTCCAGTAGACCAAGCTTGACTCAATCTGAAGCTCTAAAGCCCGAAACCGTGAAGGCTGATAGAGATTGGCCCGACTTCTCAGCTCCAAACAGAAGGTTCAGGGACTGGGAGGCAGGGCTTCGGCCTCTGTCGGGGAAGCTCTACATTATTCAAACTATCTTGTGATCTGTGGCGATGTTCTACTACGTTCCCAGAGAATTTATGTGTACCCTAAACCCTAAAGCCCTATACCCTAACCCTAAGACCCTAAAGCCCTAAGCACTAAACCCTAAACCCTGAAGCCCTGAACCCTGCAGCCTAAACCTTATGTCGCAGGATTTGGGATCCGGGGTCTAGGGCTCATGGCCCTAAGCTCCAGAATTGCTCTATGCTTAAAGAGGGGAACCCTGCTGTCTTTACAGGTTGTGTTTGTGAAAAAAAAAGATGTCCGACGTTGCTGTAAAGGCTAGAGCCAGTGCTCAGAATCCAGGATTACAGGTGGGTTTAGGGCTGAGACGCAGGACTAAAGCAGATTGAGGTTCTCCTTGCCTATATAGGACTTTCTGAAAATTGGGGGTGCCTTATTTTGGGGTCCTTATAACAAGGATCCTACAATTTAGGGTACTATATTCGGGTCCCCTATTTTTGGAAAGCCCCATATAGGGGCAGTTCTCTAAACTAGGGTCCCTCTCGGGGGCCGTTTTATCAGGGTGCCGTACTATATTAGGGACCTAAAAGGGGACCCTGATTTAGAGAACTACCCATAGAACTACTAGAACTAGGCCAACTAGAAGTGAGTAATTACTCGTCTTGTTGCCATTATCCTCGCAACGAGCATTATGTCTGTTGGTAAGTATTTCCTGCTGTTATCTATACCGTGAGTAGAAACTGAAACTGATAAGGACGATCGCTGCATTGAGAGTTTTGATGCCTGTACCACGCACTGAGAGCTACGAATTCAGGTCAGGGGTTTCGGGTCTCGAGATTCGGGTTTGGGGCTTGGGGTTCCCTAAAGTTTGGGGCTTGGGGTTCCCTTGGGGTTCCCTATACCCGATACTTTACGTCCCGGGTCTCTAACCTAAACCCTAAACCCTAAACCTTAAACCCACAGTTGACAGTGACCACGAATTCCCAGTGGAAGGGTTTGGGAGTTCACGGGTCTTCCACGTAGGGGGAAGTGCGGGTTTGCGGTAAAAGACGGACTTTAAGCTTGAGGTTTCGGGTTTAATGTTTCGAGAGGGTGCGGAGTCAACCGATAGCCCCGCAACAAAAAGTCGAGTTTAGATGTCGATTTGAACGAGCGAAAATATGCGCAAAATCTCAGGGAAACATGAATGATTCGAATAGCCCTAGGACTCATCAAGAACACCAAGGAACATGGCAGGCGTGGATGATCACAGAGTAGATGTCGCCAAGAATGATGGCCGTGGACATAAACGACCTTCGGTGCCGCGTCGTCACTAAACTCTCAGCCCGAAGCGTCTAATATAGGGGCCTTAATGATGAGAATAGGGCTTGGGGGTATATTATACTATAATTATAACATTGAACCCCCAGAAACCTATTCTAATTATTAAGGCCCCTGCATTAAGGACCCAGATCTTCGCAAGGGCAGTTCAGGGTGCAACGATGCTCATAGACGGCTTTAGGGTTTAGGGGTGTATGCATCATTTAGCAGTTGCCAGAGATCTCGCAACCTCTAAGCTTCGAAAAGTGTCTATAGGGCATAGGATTTGATTTTTGTCGGGTCGAGGGTTGGAAGCTTAGGAGGCTTTTTCTGAAAGGCGCCATTGGCCCTCAACTAAGTAATACGGGTTTCGCGTTTTGGGGCGTTAGGTAGGCTTTCTTCTCGGTTTAGGGTTTACGGTTTGGGGTCCAGCTTTCTTCTCAGCTTGTGCGGCTCCCCCTGCCTTTCTCGATCTTACCGGGGTGGACGACTCTTCTTCTACTTTCGGCTTCCCTGGTTTCGGGCTTTGCGGGCCTTAAATAGGGCTTTAGGGTTTCGGCACTTAGGCCTTGAAGGTTCCACAACCCTTTTTAAACGAAGGCAGGAGGAAGGTGGGTTGGATTCTAAGGATCCCTGGCAAAAAAGGGACCCTGATTTGGGATTCACCTACCTTCTTCCCACCTGCGAAGCCCTTTGAGATAGTTGAGATAGACTTTGAATCCCTTGATGGGAAACTGCTGCCCACCTTGCCCCGATCCACAAGTCCCGTAATCCCTGAACCCTGAACTGCCCTTGAAAGTAAAAGCCTGAACCCTACAGTCTAACACACTGCACCCCAATACCCTAAACCAAACCCCAAAAGCCCCAAAACACTAATCCTAAAACCACAAGCCGCCAGATATGATACAAGGATAGCCAGCAGCCAGCGGGCGGGAACTCCTTCACCAACGTGGTGAGGTCGAAGATGCCACCGAAGTGGAGCAGGCCAGCCACCAGGAAGGAGGCCCAGAAGGTGAGATATCCTGGCTCTACGGTTTAGGGTTTAGGGATAAGGACTCTATGCTGTATGGCTTGGGTTATATTAATTGATATATATATATATATACACATGTATATATTTTAGTTTGGGGCTTTGTATTTAAAGGTTCAGGGTGTAAGACTCTACGGTGCCTGAACTTAGGGTTTCAGAGCTTAGGAACCCGAGCAGGGGAATGGACCCCAAGAGTACTGTCAGGGTGGGGCTTAGGATTTTTACTGGTAGGGTTTAGGGTTTAGGGTTTAGGGTTTAGGGTTTAGGGGTAGCTTTTTCGGGTGTGTAAGGGTTCAGGCTCTCGTTTGGGGCTTTGTTGTCTAATCTGCACGACTCCACGAACCGCAAGCCCACAAGCCCAGATTGCACCAGGAAGCCCTAAACCTTGATTTTTCTAAGCGTTACCCATAGGCCCCTAAGTAGTTTCTTTTTGTGGTTTATATTTAGAATCCTATCAGGTAATCCCAAAAAGGAATTACTTAGGGGCCTATGGGTCTAACCGAAATCCGAAAAGCCCTCAAGTTCATGCGGCCCCAAGGCCATGACAGAAACCCTAAACCCACAAACTGCTTATGCTAAATCTCCCTTGGCCGTACCCTAAGGCTCCAAGCATGTAAGACCAATATGCTCTCTCAAACACTAACGTACCTTACTGCTTTACTAGATAAGGACCTTATACAAGCCTTACACAACCCTTTTATGTAGATCCCGTGTAGACCCTTGACGAAACCACAACCCCTCTTCAAATCCTTGTTTGGCCCCTACATAAACCCTAAAACCCTACACCTTAAACCCCAAACACTGAGGTCCATTTTTGGGGACCCCTTTTCGGTAAGCGCCAGAAATGCTTCAAAGGCGCCGTTGCACGGGTAGTCCAAGCCGTTGGTCTGCACAAGGACCTGGAAAGAACAGCTTTCAGGGGTCGGTTTAGGGTTTAGGGTTCCCCTAAAGACTTACAGGGATCTGTAGAATTCAGGATTATTTTTTCTGTGTTTTTTTGGTAAAGGGCCCTTTTCGTCCGCACGAAGTGCAGGCTACGGCATCGGAATCCTTCCTTAAAGGGGGGCAATGACGGCCACCTTGTTCCTTGCAGGCCAAAGGGTGCGGGGTTGGAAGACAAGTTTGTGGGTGAAGGATACTCTAAGGGTTCTACTATAAGCTTTATATGGTTCAAGGGCTTATAACCCTGAACCGTAAAGTTTAGGGCATAGGCCTTAGGGGTTCGGGCTTTTGGTGTTGTAGGGTGCGAAAAACAGCTTTTCGGGTTCGAGGGACAGGGTTCGGTAGGGGTGCTGTGCCGGAAGGGTTTTATACGGTTAAGGGTGTAGGTGGGTTGGGTTCAGGGTTATGCGTGGGTTGGGGTTCACGGCTTCTGCGGTTCACAGTCCGAACCCTCTAAAATCCAAACCTCTGACCGCTGTCAAAATTCATCTCGGAGGCAGTCCTGTCTTGGAGCTATAAACCCGTCTAACCTAAACCCGAAACCCTAAACCTCACTGTACGTACTAAGTCCCATGAGCCTGGCGGTATTTCCGACTGGATTTCAAGGCTAAAGCTGCGGATGAAGGATCTTGACTCCGACATCCGAAACCTCCACACATCCACTTCCCTAAACCCTAAACCCTCGGGCTCCGGGTGTAGGCCCAGGGTTCGGCATCGGGTTTCGGGCGCAAGCGTGGGGGTTTAACGCATGACGCCTTCAATCATCTT